AGACTCTCCCCGTGGGGAGATTCCATCCGCCTGGAATACCTCTAGCAATCGCCAATTCTCGGCTTGATGTCCCCTTAGGATCTCGCCGTCCCAAAACCCGGTCACGCTGTAAAGGTCATCTGCGACCAACAGCATACATACTCAAAAAAAATCATTTTTCTTTTTTTCTTTTAGCTAAATTGCTTAGCTAAATAGCTATTACCTATTCATTTTTCGAAACAATTTAAGTAGTATAAAATATTTAAGTTTGACCTAGAGAGTTGAATTTTAACACAGTTGTTGTCTTTAAGACGTACCTAGTCATGAAGGACTTTTTCACATTTTTGTAGGTTTCACTTCTATCACATGTGAACGGCATATGTCCGTTTTTTTAACAGTTACGATATTTTTATGCAACACATGCGTAGGGCCATTGTCGGTATCGTTGTATTGTGAGCAAAGTAATATAACGTAATTGAATTTCGAGGCGTAATAACTCGCAATATATTGCTTTACGAAGTAGCATTTCGTTGTGTTGCTTTTCACAGAACGTCCTCAATAAAGTGCTGTGTTAATTGCATTGAAGTACGTGCCCTTGGATGGTGTCTGGTAAGAGAACACACGAAGCATAATACTGAGGGTCTAATCTACTCTCCTTCTCCAAAACGAATTCTCGGTGACGAAGTTCAAATGAAAGTTGATTTCGTCAAATTGCATTATTTGGTTATATTTAATTTAAATGGTAAACTATCAAATTCAATTTTTCTTTGAGAAAGCTTAGAGAATCTAAACCTCAATCTATACTTGCGGACACATCTATCGCTTCACCTTGCATTTTAAGTTTTGACTGTCCCTAGCTTAAAATAAAGTTACGTTGAGCAAATAGTTTTGAAGCAGATTTTTAAAACCATCCTTTTCGTGTGTTTTTAAAAATATATTATTATTGCTGAACCTAAACCTAAACATATATATTGGTACAGACCGTTAAAAGTGGGCCGATAGATATGTTCGGGAGTGTATTTTCGGGCGAACGAATATTTATAAAAAGAAACGAATAAGAAACAGTAAGAAATGTGCGAAGTTTCGATCTAAATTCAGTTTTTCGTTAAATTAGAGTAGGCTTCCTGGTGTACAAGTTTAACATATTCTGGTGCCATTGCCATCTTCATTAAATATATTTTTTCATTAAAAATAGTGCACTATATGAATTAATATGCACGACATGTCGAGACGAGATGTCCGGCTTGCCCTACGAAAATTGCAAATCATGCATATACTACTGTTTCATTGAAATTGATTATAAATAGGTATAACACAAAATAAAATTACGTATCTTATACAAATTGACAATTTGTTAAGTTCGCCAAGTCAAGAGAGTAAGATATAGTAATTTAAGCAGCTTCGGGTTCGTCCGATTCTGAACCTTTGAGTACGCCACTGGACATAATGTCATTATGGTGTAAAACAGCCTCTGTACCCTCTAGATGTTGGCAAATATAAATGCGCTATTACTTTCGCGGTCGCCTACCCTTTCCCAAACACGTGAAGCACTAAAAACCGTACTTCAAAAAAGATTCATTTCTCGAACTAATTGAAGTAGGTAGTATAAAATATTTAATTTTGACCTATAGAGAGTTGATTTTTAACACAGGTGTTGTCTTCAAGACGTACCTAGTCATAAAGGACTTTTACGTGTTGACATTTTTGTAGGTTTCACTTCTATCGCATGTGAACTGCACATGCCCGTTTTTTTATTTTGTTGGTCATTGGGGTTCTTCAGATAAATACAGTAGAACCCGTTTAATACGATCACGCTTAATACGATTTCTCGCATAATACGCCATTTTGCGTCAGTCCCTGAAACTTGAGACGTGTTTTCATACATTTCTTAACGCTTAATACGATTCGTCATCCCGTTTAATACGCCTCAATCGCCAACACGTACCACACATATTACCTCTTGCGGCACCATAAAATTCAATGAGAGTGAATAACATCTCTTCTTAGAGTAGGGCCTCTAGTGATAATAATCAAGAAGAAAATGAGTCAACTACGATTTTGTCACAGGCCCAGGCATTATCAGCAGTTAAGACGCTATGTAACTTCTTTGAATCAAAGCGAAGACGCACTGTAAAAGTTATGTTGAAAATCTTGTAATTGCTAATGGCTCAAAATCTTTTTGACAAACTTAAAATAAGTGATTAATTTAAATAATACATAATAATACACTACATTTTTATGACATACATAATTCTTAAATATTGTACATTTACCTATATAATACGCTTTCCCGCTTAAGACGCGTTTTTGGTTGCGCTCCTGTGAAATCGTCTTAAACGGATTTTATTGTAGTATAGTGTAAGTACCTAAAAATTTGTATATCAAAAGCATAGATAGTGTGTAAATTTTTATTAAATTATTTTATTTCTCATATAAAAATGTTCGCTTTCTGTTCTTTCCATATAAACTTTAATTAAGCAAAAATCCACACTTTTCTGTGTGCAAAATATGATTAAAAAAAGCGGTACAAAGTTTTTCCTTCCCGTATTAATAGAATGAGGATGATGACTATGTTGTCAATTAAGTAGTTCGTCCTAACATGATTATACAAAGGGTCGTGCTTTATAAGTGCATGAAATACTTAAGCAAGTAATTAATAATAATTGATAGTGCTAATGTTTTTATAACAAAAAGTAGAACAATCATCTTAGCTATAAATATTTATAAATAGGTATGTGTTTGACTGCGCTGCGCGATTGCGTTAGCTCACATACTGCATCAGTCGCCGTCGCATGAGCTCCACAATTTACATTATAGGTATTACGATTTTTATCACGTGTAAGTAGTATCAAACTCTATTAATTTGAGGATTGAGCGTTATAAAAATGAGTTATATATTATATTACGGTGCTCATGGGCTGGTGTGTTAGCTGTTAGCTCACTCACAAAGTGACGAGTTAGAACAAAGTGAGTTGACGCAGTTTCGGTATTGCCGACGACAAATTATGTAATGCTTCTCCCACACCTGCACGAAGAAGCTTTGGTACTAAAATGCGCAAAAATTTGCGTCTGAAATTTGAATTAGTTCCATCGTAACTACGCTCCTTCAGCTGCACATACAAATCGTCTCCAAAAACCTCTTTTTATGCGTGTCAAAAATTGCCAGTTTAGCTTTCGTCTAGCGTTTATAGACACGCAGCTTGATAATTCATTATGATAGAACAAAATTCTAATTTCGAACGCTAAATTTAACACATTTAGTAGCAAGCTTCGTCGTGCAGATGTGGGAGAAGCATAAGCATTGAGGAATACCTTTTTTGATTCGTTTTTTTTAAGGTAACGTCAGTAAATCAAAATATTTGTCGAAGTTGAGAATAGTAGGAGGTAGGTTTTCATATAATTTTCTGCGGAATTTTAAGTGTCTTCGTTTTCTTTCAAATATATATATTTTTTTACACACTAATTAGCCTAGCCCCAAAGTAAGCACTGTAAGGCTTGTGTTATGGGATACTAGGGTAACGGATAAAATACATATACTGTACACATATAAATATATTTTTATAGAAATACATATTAAACATCCCATGACTGGAGTACAAATGCTCGTATTCATTAGACAAACATCTGCCCTTACCGGGATTTGAACCCTCGAGTCGGCGACACCATGAAACCCGGCGTACAAAGCACTCGGCCACGGAGGTCGTCAAATAATTCAATTGCAAGTTAGATAATATAATAGGACTGTTAATGAGCTAACATAGGTACTTACGTTACTGAGCGCTTTTCTGCAGATTTATTTATTTGAAGCCAACAGTTCTGTTTGCTCCTTAACGCTATCTTCAGTTGGAGCGGAAGCTGCGCTTGAGTTACTAAGTTAATGAAAATAATTTTATAGAGTTACCCATAACTAATTTATAATGTTTAATTAATATTCAAGTGTGTTGAATTTTGCCTAACAGCACTTCCCAAGCAATGAGTATACAGACGATAGGTGTTTAGTTACAATAGGCCGTCACCATAATTTCTCACATGCTCTTTGCTGCCATACTCCCATAATATTAATGAGAATGACCTGATTATTACATAGTTGTATATGTTTTTTTTTGCATTAATAACCGTTTAAGAAGGTAATGATGTTTATTTATTTGAATGAGAAAGCTGATTACACTCAATTTTAGAATACGTATCGATTTTAGTACTACGATACTGAAATTAATTAGTAGGAGCTAAAGCGATTTATTTCCTTTTTACTTGTTAACTTCATTAATTCTATTATAACAAAACGATATGGTGATAATTATAAACTTTTTGACTATTTCATGTACATAATGTTGACAGTTTTGCACGCAGTGTTATTAAACAATAAAAACAGATTTATTTTAAGATGGTAACTTACTTTTAGAATTATTATACTGGAAGGGTTTTATTAAGTTAATAAAAATATTCAAAAGTATGTGAAACTTAATATCTTCTTAAATCGAGGTACATTTACAATGGGTTAGGTAACCGATTATGAATTTTGTTTCTTAAGAAATAATATTATATTAATAAAAAACATATTTCCTTTAAACAATAAAAAGTCTTTTACATTTTTTTGAAGATAAATACCGATAACCTCCTTATTAAAATACGATTTCAAACAGTTAGCAAGGAATGAACATACCAAATAAAACTAGTTCCTATCCGGCATTGCGGTGAAGTAACAATTTGTATGTTAAACATCAGTATTGTATAAAAAACTTTATTGCTTCTTCAGATACACGTCTTATTATAATCGGTTTAATAGCTTCGAAGATATGATGTTCATTTATGTTTTTATAATTATTTTTGCATAACAATATTCTCTCATCATTTTCATCAAAAAACGGCGGTCATTGGCTTTTGTACGGACACTTTGCATTGTTTAATTTTTCGTGTGAACTCCGAAATTGTGGAAGAACACATTTAGGTTACAAATATATGGAATAAATTACTTAGTTAGGATATGATGATACTGCCAAATAAATATGTCCAATACTAACGATCTGAGGAATTTCCGGAAAAGCCGGTAGCCGGTCGCACGTGACTGGCGAAGGACGATCCATCTCCGCCTGTTTGCCCTCGGAGTATGCGACGATGGTTTTCATGGTGGACACGCTTCTTCGGCGTCCACTCCATCGGACCTCAGCGTGCCACTCGCTAACAGAAGCTATCCAACTCACACAGAACAAAGTCACACCGGCGAGCAAGAACTTCGTCGCACGCACGTATTTCCTTGGCATTTTAACTATATTGCCATGTCTGAGTGCAAAATCGCAAAATGTTAGTTGGCGTTAGAAGCTCGCCAACGACGTCCGTTCGTGAGACTGCGGGCGGTCGCTGCGCGCATGCGCTCACGGCGCGTTACCATGGCGGACTGCGCCGGATCAGCTGATAGCGTATCAACAATACTTCCCTTGCGGCTAATCGTTCTAACGCTCGTTGTGAAAATCTAGTTTACTATATTAGCTTTTGCAAAAGGTTCTGTGGAGTTTGCATGGACTATGAGCGACTAGTTTTCTATAAAAAGCCCCGTTCGCTGTTCGAGCAGTAGCACACGGAACAAGAAATTTTATAGCAAAAAGAGAACACTCGCCCTTCTGGTTATTTGTAATTATTGCGTAAGAACGATTATATGCCATGCAGTTCGTAATTGCAGGATAGGAGTACGGCCTAGGGGCATAAAATTCTGTGATGTCAATCAACCTAGCCTAAAGCTTACTCGTCTTTGTCTTCCTGTATCTTACAATATGTAAAAGACTGAATTAATAAAATAAACAGTAGTAATATAAATATTAGTAGGTACTTAATTTTTTTTTATTTTAAGGGAACCATAATGGCTCCTCCGGTACAAAACTAGAAAATAAATACAATGTAAAACATTTTTTGTAGAGTTATCTATATTAACGACAAACCAGAACTAACCTACCTACCCAATGATTATTTAAAAGACATGAGACGTTGTTCCCTCGTAAATTACTTCGGACAATTTAATAAACACATCAAGCCTTAAACGCTTTTTCAATAGCTTCAGATTACATCGTAGGGTATTAATTTGGCTTGTCGTATAGACCTTCTGTTCGGCAATAATTGTAGGTGGTGCAAAACTGCACTACGAAGACTTAACAACAGCTACCAATTAACATATAGTTATAATGAATTAGCTGTTGACTTTATTTTGCGTTGTCCGTTTCGAATTAACTATACGTTCGCCGTAAAGAATTAAATAAATACATAATAATAAAGCTAGGAATATGACGGTATTTTTACTTTATAATAATTATAATTGGTTTTGTAAATTTCTACTTAAGCATGGTTTTTTAATACCTAGCATCTTTAATTGTACCTTTAAAAAAGGTTTAACCACAGAGGGTGGATGGATCTTGAATTATTTCTGAACGTGAGACTGGACGATAAGTGAAGCATAAAATTATTTCCTGTGGATTGATTGTGCAATCATTCCCACAACAAACCATCGTTTGAAGGAGCACTTACAAAGCTTTAACCTTCTGTGGTTTCTATTAGATGTTCACTTAATGTGGTTAGAAATTGCGATTGTAGAAAAAAAGTTAAGAAGCTTTAACTGTAGTTAAATTCAATAGTAACGAAAATAAGGTATGTTTTACTATATTTTAAATTATAAGTCACGGTTGTATTTTCCGAAATCCAAGCGAATGAAGTCGCCGGTACAGCTAGTTACTTTATATAATACTAGAGGTACCCTGCGGTTTTACCCGCATTCATTTGAGGAATAACCTAAGATTAGGTTAAAAGTGCAAATGGTTGTCTTACAACTTTAAATCATTGAAGATCCTATACAGGAATATGAAATGAAACCTTAACACGATTTTTCGGATTATCTAGAGCCTAGACAATGATACCCAAATCAACATATTTTGTCAACTTATTGTTTTCTTTCCCACAATTTTTTTTTATATAGCCAGGTAGGCAAATGACTCTGCCCCACCTGATGTTAAGTGGTGATAAAGTCCAAACGCGACACGTCCAAACAATATGGCGCCTTATTGAATTTCGATTACTATCACGTCTTTAGTAGCACTTCCGTGATTAGGACTCATCGATTGACGTATGAATCATCAAAATCGGTTCACGCGTTTGGTCTCTAGTGTGCCACAAAGGAACATACATACATTACATACTGTTAAACACAAAACCGTGACTGCGCGTCGCGTTTCGCGCTGCTTGCGTGCACATTCTGGTAATTAACACAATACCCTTTTTGCGCGTCGCGCTTTTTGACTGCGCAGTCGGGTTAAAAAGGTTATAGTGGGTATCCTTATAAGATAGACATATGCTGATGCGAGAACTTTTAACAATTCCGTCATTCATTTATGATTTTTGTGTTTCTGTCCGTGTGTACTAGGGTAGGCAACGGCACGAGTGACAGCTTTGCCATCGCAAGCGTTTTGTATAGGCTATGGAGGGCGTTTACCATGAGGCGGATCATATACCTTGTTTGCCACCCTTTTAACATAAAAAAACTTACCGTGTACAGAGCGCACACTACTACTTACTACATTTTTATTGATGGAGCGCTCCTTATACTCGTAGCATTATGTTATTTAGCCTATAGCTTTCCTCGATACGCACCAACCAACACAAATCATTTTTTTTAATAAATAGGACCAGTAGTTCCTGAGATAAACGCATTCAACGAAATAAACAAATTCTTCAGTTTTATAATATTATTAGAATTGTTAATTAGTTAATAAAATTGATGTTAGGGTTTGATTTGTTACTCAATTACGTTAAAGCAACTGTATTCTGTATCCCATTTAAGCTGTTAAGGTATTTCATTCCTTAATCCCACGCAGACAATGTCGCAAGAGCGCGAAGGTACCTAGTTGTTTATGATATTGGTCTAGTGTGAAAGGTATTTAGAAGTAGAAAAAAGTATATCTTATGTGTTTATTAAATAATAATAAATAACAAATATTTCCAACACTCACACCAATTAGCCTAGCCCCAAAGTAACTGTAAGGCTTGTGTTATGAAATACTAGGGTAACGGATAAAATACATATATAAGTATATTTATATTGATATACATATTAAACATGACTGGAGTACAAATGCCCGTATTAATCACACAAACATCTGCCGCCACCGGGTTTCGAACCCGGGACCTCTCGAGTCGGCGTCACCATGATACCCGGCGTATAAACCACTCGGCCACGGAGGTCGTCATTGCTTCATAGCAGTACTTACATCCTAGTCATACATGCATGCTTCTCAGTTGCCGTGTATTAACATGGCATATTAACGGAGTTATGACAGTTGAAGTATCAACAAAAATAAATCAAGGTATTACTAACAGATAAAGTGTAGTCAATTTCGTTTACTGAATACGATTCAAATAAATAAATTTTATTTAAATTATTTATATTGTTGTTTTCCCAATTTAAGTTCGTTACGTATAGGTAGCGGCAAACTACCTTACACCGCAGACAACTTGCGAAGTAGACGTTTTTGTATTTTACATACAAAATTTTTTGCTATTGCGCAGGCTTCCTTGTCTATGGTCGTTGCTCAAGAAGTTTGCCAGGTTGTATATGTATACATAACTTTTTTCTTTTGATGTAAGGAACCTTAAAAACAGTATCAAATTATCAACGTTAAAGATTGTCAAATATTTTACTTAAGAACATACCCGGAATTCATACGCAATGTTAGCATGCATGCCACGTTACATAAATCTATCCGTTCAAATGTAATCTACGGTTGTAGTAAAGCCCACATTATTTCATAATATCAGTTAAAAGTTTATCGTAGTAAGCTCGTCTTGTTATCTAAGCGAAATAACACGTTAAGTTGATTAACGCCGATATCTCGCTAACTGCTCCTTTATCTACAATTACTTTCATTGAAGGCTTTACTAAGAACTACTACGAGGAACGTTTGAAGACTATGTAACAAATCTGTAATCATCATCAAAATAGGGAGGTTGGGCATTGACCCTACACGCGGGCCTAAAGCGGATTGGTGGGTGCTTACGACTGCAGGTGCAGCCGGGACCAACGGATTAACGTGCCCTCCAAAGAACGAAGGATCTCGAGATGGGAAAGTTTTGGTCACCCATCCAATGACCGACCACTGCGAAAATTGTTTGACTTTAACGATCACCGCCGAACGCGCTAACCACTTGCGTCATCAAGCTCAACTTAATATTTAATGCAATGTTGGTATAACTGGTAATTTCAAAATAAAGACTTATTAACAAATAAAAATTATTACGACTTTTATTTATAAAAAAAAATAACATACTGCAAAATTCAAAACTTAATTACCTATTTACTTAAATGAAACATTTTGTTAAACAAAAATATTCTAAATTGATAAACTCATGATTTTATTTGAAATAAGGGTGTTTAGACATCGCAAATGAATGAAGAATAAATATTATTCGGTCGAATGTTCATAATGAACAGAGATAAAAGCATCAAGTTAATGTCGGTGGATTAATTGTTTGCTCCCGCGCACACTGCTCTTTTATTACTAGCTTTTATTGTGCGTTATCTATCTCGGTGTATCTGTCTGTCTGTCTGATACTCTTTTTGTTTCTTTAATGTTATCATTATTATTTGAAAAGTTATAAAACTGGAATTATCCTATCGCAACAAACTATTTTATTTGTTTAATATTAAAAAAATAACAGCTTATTTTTCATTTTTCTTTCGATTTTTATTGATAATACAACTTTAAACAGATTCATGAGCGCGTATATTATGCCAGATTTACATTATACTTGAAGAATCATTTTCTCGTTCCGCCTCCAAATGTAACGTATAAACGTAACATAAAGCGGGTAACACTCTGAATTTTATTATGAAATTAACTTCGATATATTTTTTTAAAGTTTATGCACCTTTGAAGTATCGCTCCAATGTCTGTATTACAACTTACGAAATCTTCGGACTAATCCCTCTTATAAACGGGAGCGAACTTTGCGTACAGTAAGCTGGTTATACTGCCTGTATCAAATTTTGTCTAACCATCAGTATCCTTAGCACGAACCAATATCGAATTCGAATAGTTTGCGAGTGTGAAATGTCAATGTTAAATTTTGTATGGAAACTTGAACAGCAGCACCACAAAATACGCAACGAGAACAAAATATCAGTACACATTTGACAATGACATTTCGCACTCGCAAACTATTCGAATTCGATATTGGTTCGTGCTAAGGGTGCTGTACCCCTAGTCAACAACCTTCCAATTTTATTGTGTGTCATGATGCGATCAGCCCACGTGTTTAACCTGACGCGAGTTTAACATTTTTTACCCATACAAAAAATCACTTCAAAAAAAAGTATCGTACGTACTATAATTGTGTACTCAGATGACTTACGAAAAAGTTCAGCTACAAACTCAA